CGATCCCCCGTGGCGACTAAATTTTGCATTTGGGTTGGCGCCTACGGGTTGGTGCCAAATCGCGCTAAATGTCAAAATCAGATGTCATATTCATCGTCAGGACCATTTTGAAGCCAACAAGTGGCCGCCAACCTTGATTGCAAAATTTAGTCGCCGCGGGGATCGAACCATCAAGAGTATTCATTCACCACTTTTTTGGTACTACTAAAACCGTTCAGCGAAAACGAAACATGGTTTTGTGGTCCATACATGCGTCCCTACAATATGCAAGAAACCGTTTCCAAAAAGCGCTTGCCCTGAAAGACCTCCCTTGTTAGTGGGAACGACAAAGACCAGTCAAGGAGAAGATGATGTCTACACGCCGTCATCGAGTGACGATCACACCTACAGGGAGACGAGTTTCTGATCGATAATTATAATAATATTATTAACACAATATTGTACCATATTGAAAGCAGATAATTTTATGAAAATTGCACATAGTATTGTAAATAACGGCCAAATGGTCGACGGTCGAATGGGTACTTCGTACCTCAGTGCTTATTTGTGTGTGTTGTAAGTAGAGGCTCAGTATGTAAAGCTGATTATGACAATTATTTGTATAGACTTTGGAGAAACTCAATGACCCTAGAATGGTTTGATCAATTTTCCGTATAGTCCACGTTGTCTAGTCACTCAAAACAGCCAGCTTGAGATGCGTGCGGTTGCGGGGCGGTTGACTGATTGTGGTCGAATCTTGGACTCGCTTCAAAGGACAACTCCCTCCAGATAAAGAACATGAGCTACAATTCTCATACCCCCCCCCCCTATTACCATCACCGCAGTGCTCTGCATCATCAAAGCGGCCAGTACGTTATTCGATGGAGTTGCTTATAAATTTGAGTAGAGCTTTACTGATCGAAGTGTGCCATTGAAATGGAATGTATAATTAATGTTGAGTCGTTTTGAAGAGTTTTCAGCAATACTAGTCACAAATCTGAATTCAATCCTTAACACTTATAATTTGTAAAATCGAGAAGTTGTACAGAATGTCTATTAGTTTCTAAAATGTTCCGTTATGATTGATGGAATTATTTTACATTTATTTTGTAAACCGTTGTCTTAATAAAGAGCTTGACCTTCCTGGTACATGACAGCGATGTTAAATCAACGGTATCGTAGGGTCAGGGAAAGCCGAGCGATACAGGAGATAGAATACGTCCGAGCCAAATAAGCATTCGCAACATCGCTGGTCAGTCCGCGATTGAGGTAGCAAGCTGTAGTAGCGAAGAGGCTGAAAATCACGTTCAGACACAAGGACCAAAGGCCGTATACTTTGGTGAGCGCGTGTTCATCGGGCCCATACCTGAGGGCCGCCTGAACGGTTATAGGTTCTGATTTGGGCCTTAAAGCGCAGCTTTTATCAGGCGTTAATAATTTTCAAATATACTCTACCTTCAAACATCGGATTAATAAGAAATGAGACAAAAATGATTCCCTATCGTTCTAAGCAATGTTCAGTTTTGTGTGAAAGCCGAACATGTGGCGCATCCTTTAGCACATGCTCAGCGCCGACCACATTAAATGTACGTTCATCAAAACGATGTTCATAGGCTCGGTTCTAAGTTTTGTTTGTGACCATTGTGACCTCGTAGAATGCCACGATGAAGTCGTAAACCCTAAACAACTCCCCGATGACAAATACACGCCACTCAACGAAACGATTGTTTCCTAACGCTACAATGTTTTTGGATGCTGAACTTGGAATATGTGAGATCATCGAAAAGCTTTTGATAGCAGTCGAGAGAACGTGTAGAGAAGCACCGGGATACCAACAATATACTTATGGTTAATCGCTGTGTGACTGTGTTGTCAAATGTAGGGTCAGTGAGGATGCCAGCGGCTGCTATCGGCGCTTCGAAAAGTGCTAGTGATGTTTGCAGTAGAACATAATGCAAGGCGCTAGAAACGATGGCTGATACCTAACTAACCTATTCAAGTGTTAGAGGGAAAACAGTCATCCAAGAGCAACTACGATTCCAGAAGGAAATCGTATGTGTGGCGCAGTCCTGTGCTAAAATGAGATTGATAGTGAGAGTAAGTAAAAAAAGCTAGGTTCAGGCGAAGAGAATGGCGCGCGCGCGTCGGAGTGTCAGTGGTAGTGGATATTATACTTTGCGGCGGCGGGGGGGAGACGGAAGGGAAGACGGGGCGGCGGGTCCAGGAATCAACCGCTTGAGGTGTGAGATTTGGGCCTTATCAGCATCTCTGTGGATAACTTGATCAGGGCGGCAACTCGCCGAGGGCAACAGTCAGTGGTAATACCATCAAAAGAAAAGGCCAATTACATATCATGCGGCTAGCGAGTATTAATTTTGACGGTTGCTGCTATTTGCTCCCTGCCTGAGACAACGAGCTAGTGGAGGCTCTTATTCAACATCTTCGTCGACTTATGTTCCAAAACCTAGAGGGAGATTATGGCATACTGTCATCTTAGCGCCCTGTTGAGCAGGGCTGCCTGGCTCGATAAATAATTCTTCAGTATTACCTCTACAGCGTACTTACACTTGCACAATCAAGGATGTATCACAATCCACTTCGTCAGATGCCTGCGGATAGCGAGAAACTCATCTGTCTGAGTTCATTCCTTAGAGCTGATTTGAGAGTCAATTAAGCGCGCTCCACACAACAGGCTGAAATAAAAATACCAGATGTCAGACGGAGAAGTCAAGCACGCCATTATTATAATATTAGTAATATTGCATAGCGAGAGCAATTCTGCCGCAATTTTGCCACGGAAATGGGGGCTACAGTGCGTTCAGCTGATAAGGACAAGGTCTCACGGCGCTGCCGCGGATCATCAGAAAATTTGCGGCCTGTAGAAAACTGTCATCAGGCGCACGAATGAGCTGCTCATGTCATCACTAAGATAACGCGAAACAGGACGGCGGAATCTTTCGATGATGGTTTCTGCTATTACCGAGAAGAGTAAGCGGGCAAAAAAATGGAACAAGGCGTGGAGAGGATGCATTTATCGAAGTCGACGGGGGCGGGCGGGCGCGGCGGCGTGGAGCATCGTTAGCCCAGGTGCTTTATTTGCTACCACTGTCGTCGTGATGGTGCTAGAGAGGATGTGGGGTGCAAAATTCAGTCTCCTCACTGTTATGGTACTCCGAGCCTACGGTCATGGCGAATATTCAGCTCACGTCGGAAGGCGGAAAGATTTGAAATTTATGGAAAGAAGGGAAGTAATCCATTTTATTGTTTGTTGACATGTAAGTAAGTATATAGCTACAGCGTATAGGCCCACACACACTACCAGGATCTGTTTACATTGTTTTTCTGAAGTGATTCTGAATCCTTAGCGGTTTCTCGATCGTTTGATGGGCGGACTACCATGTTAACGGAATTGATGCGGGCTGCAGCATTCCCTTCCTGTTGATACCAGTATCAGTTGCAACGCACGCTATGCACATTGAAATCATGGACGTCAGTGGCGTAGAACTTAAGCCTACCCTGATAAGCGGACAGCACTATCTGGACCGTATAAAAATCCGGCTACTCCGACACTGAAGTCATTTAGCATACTCTCCTTTACTCTCTCCATTCACATTTCTGACCTACTTGAAGATGGCAACCCGAGGTGTTGGGGGCCTACTTTGAGATTCGATGAACAATCGGACTCCATTCAAGCCGACAGATGCACCCGATTATGTGTTAACTAGAACATCACTTTTGACATAATAATATTGCTAAAATTCAGTGTTTTCTATGAAGGGATCCACTCATGAGAGTGAGGCACCAAACACTCAAATTATCATATAATATCAAATAAGTTTACCATACAATATAATATCAAAGTTTCATACAATATAATATCAATCACGTCGTGTACACTGCCAATTTGATTAAGTAGATTGGAATAGTCTAGCAAAGAACTAAACAACTAATGGATAACAGTTTAATTGGTCTTGAAACCGTGGTTAGCGCAGCAGGAAAGGTGCAGTGCCCCCCTTCTATCCCTCAGGGTTGGGTTAGCAAGTATCGAGAAAATATCGTATTGGAATAGAAGAGGGGTGCCGCTTTGGATAAAGGTTTTAAGAGCTCTGCGGCTTGCACACGATGTAGTGACCGACCTACGTTCATTCTATTCGCATGGGTGGCGCATTCATGAGAGGATGTTTTCATTGCTGAGTGGTTTTCTACCTAAAATGCAACCCCTTTTGCCTCCTGAAGCTCTATATGGGCTCAGTCACTGAGAAGGAAGCTACCATGGGCAACTTCTTCAAGGCTGTCTCCCCCTGCCTGCAAAATGGCCCTGATGCGCTAAAAATTTGTTGAAAAACATGAGTATCGAGGAAGCAGGGAACTTCCTACCCCTACGATTCCCCGAAACAGTTTCCATGTGCGACTCTCAATGAATCTTGGCATGAGTCGTAGAGAATATGTCAGTATAGTGAATAAGCTCCAACCAAGATTGATAACAACTTTTATTTGGCTTACGTTTCGGCGCTTTCGCCTTCTTCAGAGCCTGGAAAGAGGAAAGCCATTTACGAAACTACCCGTCCAAATAGCTATCTGGAGTAAAGTAGATAGGACTATCTAGAGAACTCGGCCCAGTGACGCACCAACTCTTATTATATTATTCAATAGTGTGTACCGTATTCATTAATCGTCACATATGATACTGTCAGTATGATTTAAGTAATTGGGGTGTTAGCAGAACCAAACAGCTTATGGCTATCGGTTATTGTTCCTTAACCTGGTTGGTCAGTAAGGGAGGTCTTGTCGCCTGGCTTCTAAAGGGATGGGTTTAGTAGCGAGTATCGGAATTATCTGTATTGAGATAGAAGAAGGCATCCGCTTTGGGTGGAAGATGCCAGAGCTCAGGGTTGCACAGGATGTATGACCGCTATTGCACACTGGATAATAGGAAGTTGATTTTTCGAGATTCGTGGCGCAGTTCATTGAGAGGGTGTTTTGCCTTTGAGGTTTTTCCTGTCTTCGGTGGTTTCTCACTGATGCGGTATGCTGTTGAAGTGTAATAGGCGTCGTGTCGTACGCTTAAGAGCCGTGGCGCACGATGCTGCTCCCCCCACGTGCGCAGTAATGGGCCTGATGCCTAGTTATAAACGGGCTGACATGGGTATATTTAGGAAGACCTTTTTCTGCACTCTTTCCTGAATTTACAATCTCAGTAAATATTTGTAAATAGAGTAACGGTTGGGCTTTCTTGTTCATTTTGCGCTGGAGCGATGCATATGCATCGAATGCGCTATTTACACTGAATCTCCCAACTGGGTGATCCCTTTGATAAGAGGGATAAGCAGTGGTAAAGAGGTAATTGGGCTGTGCAGTCGTTACAAGATCTAATTTAAAAGATTACGAAGATTCTATTTATAGATTTTTTATGGTAAGCCAGCTCTTCGTAGTTAACTCAAATGTTAAAGCATTGGGCGTTCAGAACTACCGGTATCTAATATTTGTGCCACCGTTTAAGTCTCATTCCGCTTCGGTGGGCCGCCTGCACGACCGATGCTTGCAATGGACAGCCTACCAGCGGATACACCAAGCATAAGTTCGACACCACTAAATCGTCTACCTTCACCAAGGAAACCCGCACCTTCTCCATTGAGTATGGCTCAGGATCCTGCAACGGATACCTCGGAATTGATGTCGTCAGCTTCGCTGGTATGTTTTCACCGTTAGTGAATATTCCGAACTGACAGAAGCAAACGGCACTGAAGTATGAGCACGAATAGTATAAGGCTTACCTCATGACCCCACTCAGCTCTCGGCTGCGCTATAAACTTCTTTGACCAGAGACACCCATATGATGAGTAAACATCAATGAGAATCGCACTTATCATCCCTCTAGGGAAGGCCGTACTAGGAGAGAATCGGCACTGCAATAGCTTCTAAGAATTTTCACTCCCATCGAAGTTTCTTGAGAAGTGGAAGATGTTTAAGCTGTAGGAGGTGGGCCACGCACAGGCTCCCAAAGTAGGAGGTGGGTCACGCACAGGCTCCCAAAAATTGCTCGACGCAGGGGTCGTGCATGGAGTTCAACACCCTAACCCAGGTGTAAGCATGCCACCTAGTGGGTCTTTTAGTGCGCTATCAGTTTTACGAGTGGTCGTGCATTGATTCCAATCAAAAGTTGTGCCACTCGCAAGTTCCACAATTGATAAGCGCCTAATAAGTGTCGTTAGAAGGCTGATAAGATAGGCCCAACCATTAGAGTGAAGATTATAGAGTACTGTAGCCGGCAATTCTGGTTAAGGTACCAGTACAAGGCTTTTCGGCCGTCACCAGTCTGGATCATTTCAGGTCTGTCGATCCCCAAGCAGGAATTCGGTGTCGCCACCCATCTCGCTGATGTGTTCGGTTACCAGCCAGTCGATGGAATCCTCGGACTCGGATGGCCAGCACTTGCTGTTGATAAGGTTATTTCCTACCTTCTGCGGAATTTCCTTCATTTAAATCTTCCTACTTTTCCTTTACTAAGAGAGAATTCTTCAGGTCGTGCCACCCATGCAAAACCTGCTCAGCAGTCTTGATGCCCCTCTTTTCACCGTGTGGATGGACAGAAAGGTAGGCACTATTGGGCTACAAACCCTATCATGGACAATGAAGTCAAGAAATGCAGACCTTTTTAGTTGACCATCAGCAACGGAGGCAACGCCGGTCTCATCACTTATGGAGCTATCGACACAAAGAACTGCCAGTCTCAGATCAACTACGTGCCACTCTCAGCCGAGACCTACTGGCAGTTCCCCATTGATAGCTTCGCAATTGGAAGCTTCTCAGAGACCAAGAAGCAACAGGTGGGTACTTATGAAGGTCTTTCTTGGACCTCGTTAACAAAAAGACTTTTTAGGTTATCTCCGACACCGGTACATCCTGGATCGGAGCACCCACCACAGTTGTCAGCGGTGTTGTCAAGCAGACCGGAGCCAAGTACGATTTCCTGAATGAGCTCTACACCGTCGACTGCTCCACGCAGAAGACCCAACCAGATCTCATCTTCACCATCAATGGAGTCAAGTACAACGTGCCCTCTGTTGAGTACGTCCTCGACCTCGGTCTCGGAAACGGAAAGGTTCGGCGTTTCTCTCAGAACTAACTTAAACCTCCTCTCTCTAGCGGCTTTGCGAGGAAACTAATATATCCGAGTTATTGATGAAAATTAGTGAATCGATTGATGCAGTCAAAGATTATACGTTGAAGTTGTCATTTGCGTAGTTACGCGCCGTCAAATCTTGACTTATACCTCCAACTCCCTCCTTTCGCCTTTAACTGAAATACGTGCTAACTGTTTAAGTGCGCTCGGGACTGCTTCGCCATGAATCCGGAGGTTTCGGTCCAGCCTGGATTCTTGGTGACACCTGGATTCGTACCTACTGCAACATCTACGATATCGGCCAGAAGCGAATCGGTTTCGCCTCGGCTATTCACACCGGAATCTAAAAACAATGTTTATAGTATTATACATATAAATAGTTGTAAACTAGGTTTTGTAAGGCATTGTGGATTGCTGATGTACTAGACGAAGACAATACTCGCACCTGATGCTGCGTCAACCTCACCTAGTCTCTCGCTCGCGTGCAAAATTTGATCGGGAGCAGGCTAGACAGTTGCTTTTCACCTGAGTCCTAACGTATGGATTTGATAACCAACTTTTGTTGCCTTTCACAGAGTGCATAGACAAACTGGTGACTTGTGGGAAAATAGGTCGAAACAACATCGGCTCGACAGTTTGTAAGGTGCGAATATGACCCGTAAGAAAGTTGTTCAAACACTTCTGCAGCTCGTTCCAAAAATGGGAAATGGAAGAAATATATAAGCAGTAAAAAATGGAATAATATTGGGTTGGCAAATATGAAAGTTGTAAGTCGTAAGTACGCAAAGTCGTCGCGTTTTTCTATGTTTGAATTCATCAAGTACTTCTAAAAGCTTAAGAATAACCTGCACTTTTTGAGAGCGTTCTTTATGCTCTGCAGTACTGTGACTATTCGCACTCTGCAATATTTGAAGTGCTTTCAGGTGTAAGATTTGGAAAAAAGTATATTTAGGTGGCGATACCCAGGAGTTCTCTGCAAGTGCCCATTCTCTGGTTTATGAAAACCCGGAGGCTGTTCAAGTGGCTCGGCACAGTTGTGCCGCATGAGTGAGGAGGCCACAGACGGATTAGGCGTTGAAGCGGACCTTGAGTTAAAAAAAGACTAGCTCCGGCTCTGTATACCACCGATCCCATCACTGTTTGGAGAGTTGAAAAATACACTTGAAAATACAATAAAGCTCACGGAAAGATCTTAAGAGCCCTTTCATGTCGCCTTAGTCAGATTTTGCAATTTTAAAAAAAATTGCGACCGAAAGGCTACGAACTTATTTACCAACGCGATACATCCCTTTTCAAGCTTTATAGCAGGGAAATTTCTCTTTTGCTTGAAATCAGCGATGGACAGTTTTCACGATAAGGTTCATTCCAGGGGGTGGTAAGTGAAAAGAATTGTTGCGGTTCAGATGGTGTTTATTCCTTATACCTTACGTCCCAATCTTTCCTGTTGAGAACTCAGGGCCTGGATAGTTTGGTGTTACGGTTGGGAATATGTTGCTCCTTCGCTATTGTTGAACTTCCCCATCGATGATCAGTTTAGATCCGAAAGTGTTGAAGGAAGATAACGTGGTGAAGTACAGTAGTAAAGTTCATGGCACACCTTTCATATCATCATATAGCATTTTCGATGGATATTAACTTCTGTGTGGTTTCTTTTCAACGAAAAAA